GGATAAGCCAAACTTTTCGCATATAATATTTGTTCTCACGCTTTCCTAACTGTTTCAGGACTTAAGCAGCACTAAGTTCCTTAGCTAACAGCATGTGTGTGGCTGAAGCAGAAGTCTGTATAGTGAGTCTTAGTGTGCTCATACGTTGTGATATACCACAAAATACACACGCCCAGTTACACGTACTTACATACAACATTACTTACTTCAATACAATCATTCAACTATATATGACTCACGATAGCACATACATAACTATAGACATCCACGTGACGTCACTGTCACGTGACGCATTCGCACGGCGGTTAACAAACGTTAAGGAATTTTGTATTTATATATGATTGTGTTTGTTTTTAGGTGAAATTGTATATGCTATAACCATATAGAGCTTCGATTCGTAGAAGGCGAGCTGTTAAACTTGGAGTATAATTTTGTATAAAAGGGCAACTATCTATATATATATCTTTATGTAAGGATCGTCCTAATGACACGGCGGGTTAAAGTAGTAGAGTAATTAAGTAACTCGTGCGAAGATTCTCGAAATATTTTTTGTTTTAATTTTGTTTGCGTGTTTTTTATTCCATTCGTAATATACTGTGTTACCGGTTCACGCGAAAAATAATGAAAGATTTAGCGTAATGCGTCTTGCCTTTCGTGCATGAAGAGATAGATGGCTACGTATATGCGCTATTAATTCTGAAGTGTTCGCCCACAAGCTTGCCTAAGACTAGCTCCAAGAAACGGTATTGCTAGGGTTACAATACCAGGCTGTATAGACAATCCGTCGCACAGCCTGGTCGGGCTAGCCTAAGACATAAGATCGTGCACATATACTGTAGAGTATACTTATGGATATATTCGCAATGATATTTTTCGACAATGCCGCGCGTAAGGTTTTGTTTGCGATTTTATTTTTCATGCCACATTTGTCGGCAAAATTACGAGAAAGGCAATTAGGGTTAATTAGCCACATGTTTAACATATATATTTTTGTTAGTCTGCACGATGTCGGGTAAATTTATGATCGTCCAACGTGCTGAAATTAATGTTGCATGTGTGCAGATTTGTTACTGCAGTCGTGCTCTGTATAGCTAGTACCGGCTGCATTGTGGCAATCATCTCAATTTTGTTAGATGGAAGAGAAAGAGAAAACACGTTTATATAGTCATTTAACGTGTCATTTTATATGTTTGATCGTCTCTCGTCTCTTTGCTCAGCCTCTGCTGGCGAATTAAGAACAGTAGTCTTAAAGTTAATACACATAATTTGGAAATGCAAAGGACATATCGTACGCGGAAACAAAAAATGTTCCACAAATGCGACACCTATATCACCGTGCATGCAGTGTCACACGCGCAGTTTCTAATAAAATGTCATTCCAGACAATGTGATTCCAGACATTTTGCCGATATTTGTAAAAATTTAAGATTTAATCTTCAAATATTTAGTCAACACGTTCAACAGATATTTCCATGAACAAATAATTAATTATTCTGCGTGACAACATACCTCCAACGATCTAGTTCACATTAACACACCTGTTTACATTACCCGCATCAACACGATGATTCAAAGAAAGCGAGGATTTAAAAAGCACCTGTGAAATATGTATATATTTCTTTCAGGCGTTAGCATTGTATGTTTAACGGATAAAGATTGTGGTTAACACAACAATATGAAAAACGGAAAAACGGCTACACTGTCATTCTGTGTTGTTATAAAAATTGTAGATGATATATTTGATTACATGTTTTAAACAGAAATAGATACATCAAAATCATAATGATAATACAAGTAATATATACTTGAGAATCAAGAAGTATCGCATAAAATATTGTTATACCAGTATGTTGAATTTAATTATATGAAATTGTGTCATCGTATTGTAGTTAAAATGAAACGTTTTTCCCTCATAAATAATAAACCATTATATCATTATAACGATGGATATTATTATAAAGATGTTATCAATGTTAATGTTATCAATATTAGCGTGTAAATTTAGAAAGAATTATGGCGTAAATGATGGCTAGACAAGAAACACACATTGCCAGTACGCCTAGCTATGTTATAGTGACAGAGCGCGCTGCACGCGTTTGCCTAATATCTGCTTAAAACAATAATATTAATGTTACTTAAATATTATTTGTCTATATTTATATAACTTTATTTTATTAAATACATTATAATACAATGTATGATAACATATATCTATGACCGGGTAGTTATTGACAGTGCTTTCTGCCTTGACCATGCAACGCATATGTTTAAACATGTGTTGTATATATCTATGCATGCAGTCACTAAACGCGCGAGAGGCGTGTTACTAGGTGATATGGCGCTAGGATTACCTGGAAGTAATCGATTTTTATTGCTTTATATCTCGGCATAGGAACATTGTAGAGACAAGCGGTTGATCTTATATTGGCTAGCTATGACTCCTGCATAATATTCCGGTAGAGAAGTATTAAAATAAAGTAGGTAAACTTTATTAATTTTGCTGAAACGACACCATGGTTTTCCTATTTCAGCGTTGTACGCTCTGGGGTTAATGGGCTCTTGTTATTATGATTTGTCTAAATAACTTTATTTCATTAAATACATTGTAATACAACGTATAACTGTAAATATATATCTATGCCCATGAGGGCGGTGATGTAATGAGTAATATGTTGTCTCTTGAACAATAAGTTCGACAAAGAATCTCGCACTTTAGGCCAGTTGGTGAATGTGTCATTTCAAGCTCTCACAAGTTCAAGAAAATGTGAAATATGTTTCCATTGTTGATATATCGCTTGGAATAAGGTTGACTCCCTCTTTTCTTTAGTATAGATACTTAATTAATTCTGCCCTCTGAAGAGTTTATTAAATATATGTCAAAAGCATGATTTAAAAAAAATCATAACACAGATGTTGAAGTCCATTGTTATATCATTATAATTTAGCTAAAACATTTACATATAATCAGGAGCGTATAATGACAAATATACGCTCATTTATCATATACGCTTATTTGTCATTATACGCTCCTGATATAATTATATTAAATATTTAAATCTATATAGCATACCAGTTTTAAAAAGATATACACATCATGAACTAGAACGGGCATCTACTATGCTGTAAACAACTTCCAACGTATAATATATATAGGCAGATTCACATATATATATATACATATATACAGATAATCATAATGTATTATATATATATATTATTCCATATTATAAATTACATGTACTATTAGTCTGTGACCTAACATGTGGCAACCTGGGACATGGACGCTGCTGCCTCTCTCGGTACAGGTCTGAACTACGAACTCATAAAATGATGACGTATTACACACTCATCACTAGCCCGACTGTTTGCTTGAGATTACATGCGTGATGAAATGAATAGGAAATATTCATACAGTTGTAGTACCATTCGGATAAATAACAATTAACATGGTAAGAGTAAACTTGCCTGTTTAATCGGTCTGAGTGTTTTATTTAATTTCCTCGTTCAAACTTTTAATCCTAGTACTAGTACTAGTAGTTATAACAGTGTTAACACGTGTAGGCCCCTACGCTCAATCACTGAATCAGGCTAACGCTCCATTACATTAGCGGATTAGGAGCGTTCCCAACTTTGATATCATTAAATGATTAATGATTAATGTCCCTAATGATTGATACTCCTAACCCTAACCCTAACCCTAACCTAATAAAATGACATTAAACCAACATCAGAAGCTGGAACCTGCTACCGGAGTCACTACTCACTAGTCCAACATCACAGCAATTCACTGGGTCCCTCTGGCAAAACATTGAGTCAGGCAGCTTCGTTGTTATGCCACCTCGAGGAAGTGAAACGCATCTCCGGCTGGGCAACTACAACAGCTCGCAACAGCCTATTGCCGTATGCTAGTCGCACTCAGTAATGAGTGCCTGGCCCAGAGAAGCCTCGATCTCTGGAACACGTTACTGTCTACATTTATATATATATATATATATATCAAGAGCTCATAATAGAGAAGAGTATGACACCGTTTTAATAGCGTTTTGCATAGTTTTCAACTTGTAAATATTCTATCAATAAGTGAATAAATATATTCCAACTTTACCTTGTTTTCGTCTATGATTCTCCCTTAATCATATGACACCACCAATTTACCTGAAAATCGTATGTGTTCTTCAAAAAAGATGCGCCGCTCAGATGCGAATTGTTGGGAAAACTGTTTGAAACCGTGTCGTATTCAAATAACTTTTTTGAAGAACACATACGATTTTCAGGTAAATTGGTGGTGTCATATGATTAAGGGAGAATCATAGACAAAAACAAGGTAAAGTTTGTATATATTTATTCACATATTGATAGAATATTTACAAGTTGAAAACTATGCAAAAGGCTGTTAAAACGGTGTCATACTCTTCTTTATTATAAGCTCTTGATATATATATATACCCCCACAATCGCGCGTCCGTCCGTCACCATTGTCTCTCTCTTGTGCGCGTTCAGATCGGCATCGTGGGACGCACCGGTGCCGGCAAATCCTCCATCACTCTGTCGCTGTTTCGCATCATCGAGCCAGCAGATGGAGCCATCCTGATTGATGGGCGCAACATCGCACAGATGGGGCTACACGAACTGCGCTCCAAGTTGACCATCATCCCGCAGGACCCCGTCCTGTTCTCAGGCGACCTCCGCATGAACCTCGACCCGTTCGGCTGGTACGCGGACGACGCCATCTGGCGGGCGCTCGACCACGCGCATCTGAAGACGTTCGTGAGGTCGTTGCCGGACGGACTCGGGCACGAGGTGAGCGAGGGCGGAGAGAACCTGAGCGTCGGGCAGCGCCAGCTGGTGTGCCTCGCGCGCGCGCTGCTGCGCAAGACGAAGGTGCTCATCCTGGACGAAGCCACGGCCGCTGTCGACCTTGAGACGGACGACCTCATCCAGGAGACGATCCGGCGGGAGTTTGCCGACTGCACGGTCCTCACGATCGCTCACAGACTCAACACGATCATGGACAGCTCCAGGTAGGGAACGTTGTTCTGTTTCTTCCTAGATATTCCGCCGGGTCGTCGCGGTGGGATCATGTCCCTCGGTCGTGGCAGCGGTGCGGTCTGTCTTCTGTGGTTGGTCGGCTACGACATTGCATATGTGGTCGGTGAAAATCTGCCAGGCAACGTACGACGTTCCATATTTGGTCAATTAAGATCAACTATATACCCTTCATATACTCCCCACCCTCATATAAGTATCTTATCAGCATAATAGCCCCTTTCAATTTCATCTCTATTAGTTTCTCACTAGGAATTACTCTGAACATTGCTTCCACAGGTATTCCTTCCAACGGACGAATCCGCGGCATTAAATCGTAATGAAACCATATTATCTCCTCCCTCGTATGCCTTATTCTCCCCTATAGCCCTGCCATGCATCCTCACCCCCTATCCAAATTGCTATTCCTTTCCCCTCCTCCTCGCCCACTCCGCACACTGCCCTCTCTCACTCTCCTCCTTCCTCTCCCCTTCCTCCCCTCCCATCCCCCCTCCGCCCTCCCCCCGCCATAGCTCATCGGGTTTAGATTTCCCTAGCCACAACCTCCACCCCCCTAATCGTCGCCGCCGCTCGGCACGACGGTTCTCTGCCACAGAGCCTCCCGCCCTCCCCCTTCCCCACTCCCGTCACCGCACACCCCTCCCTTCTGGCCCCCCTCCCCCTCCTCCCCCCTCTGGACCCTCCCGGCCATCCCCCTCCCCTCCGCCTACCTCGTACTCCACGACCCTCTCCCGATCGCCCCCTCACCTCTCCGCCCCGCCGCGCCGACCACCCACCTCACGCATCCTCGCCTCACCTCAGCTCTGCCTCGCCCGCCACGAGTCGCCTACGCTCAACTTACCGCTCCCCTCTCACTCTCCCACGTCCGCCCCGCCCCACCGTGTTGCCGCCCCGCTGCCGCCCCCACTCCTCCCCTCCATCTCCGCCCCCCCCTCACTCGTCTTCATCACCGCGCGCCCGCAGACCCGTGCCCCCTTCCTGCGTTCACCTCCGGTTCCCCCCCCAGCTTGGCCCGCCCCCTCGGCCATCCCGGTCGGCGGCCTTGCCCTTGCGTGCCCGTGGCGTCAAGCGCGCGCCCCCGCCCCTTCATGTTCCCCCCCGCGCACGTCCCGCGCACTCCCCTCGCCGCATGCTGTAGAACTGCTGTTTCCTACACCGCCCGAGGAGATCTCACGGCGAGTCGACCAATCCTCTGATCTTCACCCGCTTGTCCACACCATCGACCCTGCCGGAGCCCCGAACCCCCGCCGACGCACAAGAATCCGAGCACACAGGAACAGAGAGAGAGAGAGCCAGGCTCCCCGAGACCGAGAACGCCGCGAGAGAGCCCAGGACAGCGGTAGCCCGAGCGCCCGAGGCGCAGAGGCCGAGAGAGAGCAGGCCGAGCTGACGCAAGAAATGCGACGATGAGGCGAGAGAAGCCAGACCCGAAGAGACAATCGACAGCCCGCACCCCGACCGAGAGCCCATCCCCGCTGGAGAGACAAGGGGAGGGGGGCGAAGAGAGGGGGAGAGAGAGGAGAGTAGAGCAGAGAGAGAGAGCAGAGACGAGAGAAATGGGACGGCCCGGAAGAGAAGGGGAGGACGGAGAGAGAGGAGAGTGACCCGAAGACGAATTCGGACGCACCCCAGTTGACGCAGAGCAGACCACACTGCCCCCCACTCCAGGCAGAAGATGACGACGGACTATGCGGCGTTTATTTTTCGGCGACGACCGACGCGCAAGGAGACGAGTAGAGGGCCAGCAGTCTAGGGGGCGGGTGAAGACGAGGGAAGATACAGCACAGAGGCGCACGACGCTAAGATCATTTTTAAGTTGCTACGGAGCCCACCGGTCACCCGCACCGCGGACCAGCGCCCCGAGCCCCTCAGCCGGCGTGCGCGTCCCGCCCTTTCCTTTTCTCACCCCACCATCGCCCAAGCCCCGGCGTTCCTACGATGACGAGAGCAGAGAGACAAAATCCAGACCCCGAC